CTCAATGATAAAATTGAAACACTTTTGAGGTTCTTTTTTATTTAGGTTAACAACCAACACTAGTATGGACAATAAAGTAATCTCATAATACATCTTGGTTTGTTTGGTTGGGATTTTAATTACTTAATTGTTCGTTGCATATTTGAATGATTTGTGTTTTGATTGTTCATTATTCTTGCTTTTTAATGTTAGGCAAAAGTAATAGGTGAATCTTCTTGACTGAGTTTTAACTTTTAATGAAGAGATATTTTTTAAGGGTTTAGTTATTTGTCGTGTCGTATCGAATTAGTTTCATGTTATAAGTTGATCATTAATATTATCCTTTTATTTTTTATGTTGTGTAGTGCAACTCGTTTTCTTATTGTGTGTTTGGCAAAACTAACGGATAACTGAAGTTGCAAGTCATAGGTTTTTATGTCGGCAACTTAGTTGGAAGTTTTTAAAATTGTAAAATCATAAAAAGTTAAAGTTAAAAGCTCCGAAACTACTTAAAATAAGTTTTAGAATATTAGTTTTTTTGTTAATTTTTTTTTTTAATTTGAGTTTTTATAAAGTAAAAGTTAAAATCTTTTAAAAGCTCTTAAAATCGTGCTACCGAACACACCCTTAAACGATTTGAAATCTAATACCCAATCTCGTTTATTCTTTGTTGGATTTAAGAGGTGGTTGGGATTGTTTGTTTAACTTCAAGAGTGTTTGACTTATTATGATAGTAAAAAGAGTTTTAAAAAAAAAAGTGTTTGTATTAGCTTTTATGGTAGAAAAAAAATTGTACACTTGTAAAATGACTGAAAATGACATGCAAAGAAATGAGGAGCGGAAATGAGAAGGAGAGAGTTCATTAAGGGTAGTATAATAATTTCCGGTTTAAAAAGTCAGGATTTCCTTATTTTTGGAAACCTCATTTTAAAACATGTCAAAAAATCATTTTGAAAAGCACTTATATAATAGTTAAACATTTTTTTATTGGTTTTTTGAAAAAACAACAAGTTAATAAACTATTTTGAAAAGCAATCACAAATACTTTCTTTGATGTTGCGGTTTAGACCTTATAAATATGTTAGATTAAGTCCTAAAAATGATTTTTGAGTGAGTTGATCGAAGAGAAGAAAAAATAACAATCTCATTTTTTATTGATAAAGAAGATTGTTAAAGAAATAAAAAATTATGCATATGTTGGAAAACGTGTTTCTTAAAGTCCTACTACTTGCTTATTTAGAAGGGATATTGCTACAAAATCCCCTAAGTTTGTCAATTTTAACGGTTTTACTCAAAATCCAAATTTATGTTCATTAATCCTTAATATTTTACAAACTTTTGTTAGCTTTTAGCATGTCAAACACATATTTTCTAGTTTCCATATGAAAAGCTTACATGGAAGTTATTCTGAAGTCACATTTGACGTAATGTTTTGACTTTAGCTGGAAAATCGAAAAGGAAATAAGATATTTGGGTTCAACCTGTAACCTCAAGGATCAAAGGAAATCATCGTTTCATTGGGCTCAATCACAACTTTGTACAAGACCTGTGAACTAATTTATATAACATAACACACATCTAATTACTTAAAAAATCAAGCCTTCGATAAAAGAAAAACAGGATAGCTAGGATTCAAACCCCATACCTCTCACACACAAACGAGGCCCCTTATCGGTTATCAGTAAGCTGGAAGTACTTTTATGCATTTTTTTATGTTAGAACTTCAATATAGAATGTTTGTTAACCTCGGAACATTAAATACAATGTTGATTATTATTATTATTATTATTATTATTATTATTATTATTATTATTATTATTATTAAGAATTTAGAAAAATACTTTTAAATATGTTTTTAGATGTATACATATATTTTTAAATGTAAAAATATGATTTTAAAGGTATAAATATGTTTTAAATGTATTTTATAAATATTTAAAAATGTATTTTTACCTTTGAAAAAGTAATTATACATTTAAAAAAGTATTTACATATTTAAAAAAATATTATACATTTAAAAGTGTTTGTATACCTTCAAAAAACCATATTTTTACATGGAAAATATATATTTGTAAAGTAAAAAAATATTTATTTGTATTTAATAGGTATAAATATGTTTTTAAACACATAAATATATATTATTATGTTTTTGCAAGTTTCATATATATATATATATATATATATATATATATATATATATATATATATATATATATATATATATAATAATTGTGAATTGTATATATTGTATGACTGTATGACATGGACCATCATATTAGATTTATAGATAGTTAAGATTATATGGTGCACCATAGTTACAATTACAATTGAACACAATACACATAAACATTTCATTTTAATAAAAGAAAACTCAAATAATAATTGTAAATGTATAACTGACATATTAATTAATTCTCGATAAAGAAGTTGAGATAATTAAGGAGAACACAATTATCATAATTCAAAAAGAATATCTGGTTATCAAAATCACTCTAACTCTCTGGATATCTAAGAATTGGTAGTATACAAATCATACTGAAAAATCGAAGAATTCATCCAACAAATAGAGAAATCCAAAAGAATGAATATTAGGAAGACGAATGTGAGTTCATTCTTAAAGAATACAAGTTTATTCTTAAAGAATACAATTTCATTCAAACACATATTAACACATATTTTCCTTCTAATATTCTTAAAGAATACGATTTCATTCAATATTTTTTTTATTCTTTCGTTCTTAAAGAATATGATATTTTACGTAATAATCTTAAAGAATACATGTTATATATTAGACAATAGCATATAATTCTTTAATAATAATGTATTAAAATATAATTAAAGATATATATTAAAAAAAAAAAAGAACCATACTTATAACATAAAACAACCATTTTTATAACATTAAATAAAAAATATACAATAACTTGAATAATATACAAAACTTGTTATATTACATTAAATCTATCATCATGTTTGGAGAATATACTATATATATATACACACACACACACACACGCACACACACACACACTAGCTGTTTACCCGCGTCAAACAACGGGTGGTGCGAATAGTTTTTTCAGAATTAAGTTTCTAGACACGTTCAGTTATTTTATACAAATACACGACGCATGGTGCAAATAGTTTTTTCAGAAATAAGTTTCTAGAGACGATTAATTATTTTATACAAATAGTTTACTATATCTGAACAATAATCAATAAACGGACATGAAATATTACTATATGATTTGAAAATCTAATATTTTAGAATTGGTATTTCTTTTTACTAACATTTTGTGTGGTTTCATTTTGCTGCACTTATTATTTCATAGTGTTTTTGTTAATCAGTTTATACATGGATTTAAATATATTTTTTCTTAAAATGTGAACCATAAAAATAAATAATTAATAAAAGTAAAACCAAAACAAATATATTCAACCATCACGTCACACTTTACTAATTTATCTTCTATGGTTCAACTTAAAAAATAAAATTTGAACATCAAAATCATAGTATACAATGATGAAAATATCCTACCATTTCTCATTAAAAAATCTAATATAGAAAGATATAGAATGAAAAAAAAAATTGGAACGACAGAATGACACACTATTCTTTGTGATATAAACATTAAAGTTTAATTAAAAACCAATAAATTTTATAAATTAAAAAAGGAAAGAAATAATAATCATCATGTTGACCAAACAATTTATGTAGTTTTTTTAAAGATTTAAAAAGGTTCCCATAACAAAATTTATAGAAGCAAAAACATTAGACTTCAAATATAAATTAACTTGCAAAGACAGTTAATTAGAAGTAATATCATTTAGGATTTTGCATTCTCCGGCTAATAATGTATAATGACATGTCCCATACCACATTGTTTCTAAAATCAACATCCAACCTCTATTTGCCCAATTTGCTTACAAAGTACAATACCTAAATAAGATAAAGTAAATTGAAATTAATAAAATGTTGTGAAATAAAATTAGACAGCCATAATACTCAAATATCAATCAATTAATACATAGGATAAATGCAAGATAGAGCAATAGGAATGGACATTCATTAAAAGTGCTTTAATTGGGTGGACTTTTCTACAGAAAGGTGTTTGCCTTCTAGTTTATTCCAAAACTCACTTTCAGGCTTAAGAATGGTTCTCATAGATGCAATCAAAACATTAGTGTCGTTGTTGTCATCATCTGAAGTAGTGTTAAAAAGTGGATCCAAAGTGTTGTCAATCTTTTATCTGATTCATTTGCTTAGAAATCATTTTTCCAATCTTTAGGAAATTTAAAATTTTTAATAATAATATGTTCAAAGTATAGGAAGTATTTATCCCCGATAGCAAGTTCAACCTTTTCTGTTTCTTCATCTTCAGCTGAGGCTGAATATTGTTCTATGTGCTGAATTAGCATGGATAAGTCACTTGTTAACAGAGTTGAATGTTACATACATAAACCCAATTCCTTTGAAATGTAATAATCAAGTTGTTATCGACATTGCAACCAATCCAATATTTCATGAGAGGACGATACATATCGAATTGGATTGCCATTTTGTAAGAGAAAAGTTATAGGCCGGTCTTATTACTTTATTTCATGTCAATTCTAAGCAACAATTGGTTGTTGTTTTTACTAAATCTCTCTATGGTCCTCAACATCAACAAGCAGTCTCCAAGCTAAGTTTTCTTCTGTACCCCCAGCTTCAGAGGGTGTCAACATATATGAGTCAAGGGCAATACCCTGTCAACGAATGTTATATTTTACTACAATTATAATATCTTATTGGAACTAAATGATAAGTGGATGGGGGATAACTCATATTGAGTGATATACTTGTGTGGTGTGGGATCCCCTGAAAACAATTTGCTAGTGTATTTGAGCTTTTCAACTTTAGCATCAGTTGGGGGAATTGTCCAAAAAAACGTAATACTCTACTTGCCATATTTTATCATCTAATTTGATAAATATGGAATGCGAGAAACAATGAACTCTATAACAAAGTGATATAATCTCCTACCATGGTGGTTGATGAGGTAATTTCTTTGGGATTTTTAAGGCATAAATATAGAGGAAAGCTCAATCTTTGTAAATGGTCTGATTGGTGTTGCTCTTATTTATTTTATTGTAATCTGCAATGTAAACTCTGATTCTGTCATTGGCTAGTTTCTTGCTAGTCGAGGGTATACATATTCGTCGTTTCTCTCTCTCTCTCTCTCTCTCTCTCTCTATATATATATATATATATATATATATATATATATATATATATATATATATATATACACACATAACTACTAGAAACGTGAGTATTACCGACATATTTTTAGCGACGGAAAAAATCCGTCGGAAACTGCAACAGAATACCAACAGATTTTCGACGGATGAAGAGTTAGGAAAGTAGTGACAATACTGTGACGGCTTGGCGACAAAATAAACTTTGTCTGTAATCCCTTACAAAATACTGTCGATTTACCAACGGAAATCAACAACTTTGTGATTCTCTTAGTATTCCGTCGGTAAAATTAATATTATTTTGTAATTTTTTTTAAACCGTGAGGGCATTTTAATAAATAGAAGGTGTGTGTTGCACATCTACTTAACTTAAGCTAGTTCAAAGCAGGGCTCCCTTTTTTCTTTAAACGACGATCTCACAGCACCACCATTGAAGAACGATATAACCTTAGTTGTTGTCGCAGTTTGTGTTTCACCTTCGTCGGAACCAAGACCCCCGTCGTCGCCGCTCACTAGCGTCCGTCAATACTCCGCCATCAATCGATTGTTTGCTTCAATTCATGTCTGTCTCCTATTTGAAGTTCCCCTACACCAAAGCCACCGTCTGTCGCCGACGATTGCTTCCGTTTCACCGACATTCACCTCCGACATCAATCAATCTTCCCTAACATCTAGGTTTTTGGTATTGTACCCTTCACCCCTCTTTTTTCTAAGATTCTACATTTCACCGTCTAATTTCTTGTGTAAATTTCGAGCACCACAGTGAATTGAAGGCTATTTAAGTTTTTGTGCATCTATGTTTGCTTCTGTATGTATTACCTTATGTATATAATCATGTTCTCATCTCTCAATTTCCATGACTATCAAATGCTCGATAAAATTCCCCAATGAATAAAAATGGGTCAATGTGAGCTTCTATGTGTATACAAACATGTTTTGGTGCATATATTGGAGAACTAGAGAAGTTAATTAATTTCTAATTCATGGTACCTGATGTAATGATACCTTGCAAATTGAAATGTATATGTAATATGTTATTTTTTTTACTTACTGTGAGAAACTATCAATTTTCTCAAATTGTAAAAGGAAGAGATTGCTTCTGTTCGAGAAAGTTTATTTCCTACATGGGAGTTAAAGCTTGAATTCAGTTTTACTAAACGTAGTACAATACTTGATCCTCTCAAAAACATAAACAAGTTTGAAGAATTGTTCATTGATGTCGGTTTTCTTATTGATACTTGATATTAGGATGCCTTCTTTTATTACCTTGAAGGAAATGATTGTTCTGATGCTGAAGTGTATGCAATTGTAGAAGAGTCACTTGTCTTACCTAAAATACCCCTGATGAGAGTTGAAGGCCTAGTGGATGTGAATCGATCAGTCAAATGAACAACTTTACATTTACCCCACAAGATACTTTTTGAAAGAATGTTAATTGAAATGCATTTGTATTTTAATTATTACAGGTTTAGTTGTTGGAAACTTCTTATGTCAATCTTATAATTTATACATCATTAGTCACCACAAATGCTAAAATCCGAACTTCTTCTTGAGTACAATATGTATTGTTCAACCTTCTAATTTTACAATATTATTAAATATTTATTATTCTACCCTAAGGTCAACTTTTTTGGCAGGTTGATTTTGTTCCAAACTTTGACAGGTTGATTTTGTTGAACCTTCTAATATTTTTTCATTTTTCCAAGACTTTAGAAGGCATAAGTGATACTGTGATGAGAGTGATCAATCAGGAACATGAATAGTTATTGAGGTAGTTATATGAAGTTCTTTTGTAAAGTATTTTATGAATTTTACAGACTTAAACTTTTTTCATTCAAACTTTTCAGCTTAAGAGGGTTTTGATCCAACAATTATTATGAATAATCTATATCGCTCCACTGCTCTACACTCAAGTTTTAGTTGCAACATGATTAGGTGAGTGGTTATTAGTTGGTCACTTTTGTCCTAATTATGACTTCAAAAATAAACATGGTTTGACTAAATTAGAACTTATCATGTTTTACTCATCTGGTAGTATTGTTTATGGTCAACCTAAACAAATGGGCTTAATAGAATTGCTTAAGGCAACTCATGAACATACATGCTCTCTTCCTATATTTATATATGACCTATAGTCACTCTTTCTATTTATGTAGACCTACATGTTAGGTTTTGAATGGCTACAAAACACGAACTTTTAAATATATTTACTTAATCTTTTATCCTACATGATTTCTTTGATTTTAGATGCTCGGTGATTGAAAGACGTGCAAGGTTTAAGCTTTTGCACAAGATAGCTAGAGACGGAAATCAATACATAGTGTTGAGGTATGTATATAATTGTAACTTGTAAGTATATGTATATATGCATAAAATCTCTACCCAACATTTGTTTACCTTAAGATTTTGGTCCTGAGTTACATACACTAAGAAGTGTATGTAATTGTAACTTGTAAGTATATGTATATATCTTAATTGGGCTCGATGATGTAATTGATGTGAAAAACTACAAGTAACTCAATGGCATCAACTCATCTTAGGAAAAGTAAGCCTCATTATTGTTTTATTGTCTATACAGTGAAGTGACATGGTCAAAGTATTACTTGCTCTTTTAAGTTCATGATGTGAAATTATTATTATGATCTATATTACAGAATTTCAAATATCCAAAAAACAAGCTATCAAATATCAACTTATGAAGACTTACATTGCTTGAGGTCCTACACCTTCTCTATTTGTTGCCATTTTTATTTTGGATATTACATATTCTAGTTATTTTTTTAATTACATTAAGAAATGTCTTTTATTGTTCTTCAGAGAGGCAAGTACATTAATGAAGGAAAATCCTTGACTGACCAAATTTACAACTTGGAGAAACTTCTATTAAGCAAAAAAGAAATATTACAGGTATATCATATACCTTTTTAATTTTATCTATTAGTTTTATTTAGTGTAAAGTTTGTTCTACATCTTTTTGTCTATTTAGGGAATCAAACAAGAAGCAAGATATAAAGAATAAATTCTCATGTCGTTCCACTTTTGAAGATGTTGATAATGGCACACTTGATTTAAATGTTATCCCAAATGAAGAAATGTTATTGGTACATCAAAACTCTAAACACTCGGTTAATTTATGTTTTATTTTATATAGCTGAACACATTTTAATCCAATGTGAGACACACTTTCAATCAACAAAAACATGCCTCCTCTTGAGGCATTATTGTTTTAAGAAGGCTCGATGGAAGGATTTATCTCTTATCAAGCCTTCTATTGAGTCCCTCACTCAAACTACTAGCAGTTTTAAAACCAATGTATAATAATTTTAAATTTTTTAGTTTCTATTATTAAAATACAAACATACGAATTAGTTAATTAATTATTTAGTCCTTTTTTGTATGTATTTTAAATTTATGGGTTTAATGTATGTTGAATATTGTAATTATTTTACTTTTATATTTGTTAAGTTTTAAAGTATAGATTAGATGTTTGTTTTAAGATTTATGTGTTGAATATGTAGTTATTTTTAATTGTTTAATGAATGTATAATTTTTTTTATAATGCCAAAATCCGTCGTTAATCTATCAAAGAAAATCTGTCGGTAATCTGTAAGTGAGTTATTTTGAGATTCCATCGGTAATCTGTTAATGAGTTATTCCGTCGGTAGTCTGTTGCAAATGCATTCCATTGGAAATCCGTTGCAAAAATATTTCCGTCGGTGATCGGTTACTAATTACCGACGGAAAAATCAATTGCTAAAAATTTGTTGTAGCCGTTGGAAATCCGTTACAAACAATTAACGACAAAAATATACCGACGGATTTTGGTCTGCTGCAATTCCGTCGGTAAGCTTATTAGCGACGAATTACCGATGGTTTTGGCCGTCGGTATGCTCTATGTCGTAGTAGTGTGTGTGTGTGCGTGTGTGTGTATATATATATATATATATATATATATATATATATATATATATATTAAGGTTCTAAATATCGTAAGACGTGACTTGGCGGCAATGTCAGACCTCAAGCTTTTCGAACCTTGGCGAGTCATGACGTTTGTAAGACGTGACTTAAGGCGACAATCTTCTATATAATTAATATTTTTATATGTATTTTCAACTATTATTCATTTTTATACACATATATAAGTTAAGACGACGTTATGGCAAAGCTTAGCGACAAGTGTAAGCCTTGGAGTCGTAGCGCCATGGCGGAGCCATAGCGAACTTTTTAGAACCTTGATATATATATATATATATATATATATATATATATATATATATATATATATATATATATATATATATATATATATATATATATATATTGTAACAACCCAATTTTCACGCCCAAAAATTTCATTTAAAATAAGTGGTATGTAAAATATTTGTAGCAAAACATCATCCGATCATATCATTTCATAAAAGATATTACGTGTCTGAAAACCCAAAACAAGAAAATAATAATAATGTCAGAGTACAATCCCAGAACATCTCATAATACGAAAATCCAAAGTGTATGTGTATAATGTGCCACTACCACGCCCGTTCCTTCCCCTTCGTTGAAGAGCTACCTGAAACCAAAACTGAAAACTGTAAGCACGAAGCTTAGTGAGCCCCCCCCCCTCCATCGTACCACATACCATACAATCATATCACATACAAACTGCCAGGCATTTTTGGGGTGCCCAATCTCCCGGTACAACCATTCTAGGGTGCCGACCTACCCGTACGGCCATTCTGGGGTGCCGACCTACCCATGTCAAGCCATTCTGGGGTGCTGACTACCCTCCGGTCCTAACAACCGAACTCGGGGACTATTTCACCCCTACTACTACTATCACATATAACATAACATAAGCATATTATCAGACATATCTGGGGTGCCTGAACTACCCTTCGGTCCTAACAACCGAACTCTACTACTATCACATACAACAAATCATGCTAGCATATAACATATCAGGTAGTAATCAACCTAGATGATATCACAAAGACAATCATCTATCATACGTCTCCTATTGGTGGGCCGACATTGTGGCCTTAGACCCACCGCTACTAGAAGGTAACTCACCTCGAAAAGTAGCTGTTGAAAGCCTGCTTGCTAAGCGCCCGACTACTGAATCGGTAATCCTTCGGCTATAAATCATAAACATAGATTGGCCACTCATTCACACCCTTAGGCCAGATGACTGACCCAACCCTGGTCCAAGGTTAACTACTTGGTCAAAGTCAACTTCCAGTTGACTGGACTCGCCGAGTCATGGCACCGACTCGTCGAGTCCTTCTCCCACTAACCCGGTCCTACTCTACAAGCCCCTCTTCCCACTCACTGAATCACCCTTAACTCACTACTTGGGACGATAGAACCGGCTCGCGATCCGACTCACCGAGTCCAAGAACAACTCGCCGAGTCCACACGAGCAGACCTCCCATTCGCTTCCAAATCCTCACCACAGCATCCCTTATGAGGATTTAGGTTTCTGGGACTATTGCAACACGTTAGATTGCTAATTCTGTGTGTAATTACGAAGGGTTAGGCCTTCAACATCTAAACCCCTCATACTCAGTAACTGTTCATCTGACTCGCCGAGTTTGAAGAACAACTCGTCGAGTACCAGGCAATCTTCATAGGACTCGCCGAGTTATTCATCCAACTCGCCGAGTCTAAGGCCGTCTTCAAAGAACTTGCCGAGTTCCACTTTGGGACTTACCGAGTCCCTTGACCCATTTCCCATATAGACCAAATTTGAGACATGCAACGCTTTAAAACCATATATCTATGTTCCTAGGGCATGCTTATCACGTAAAGTTGCAAACTTTACGTGAATGCATGGCCCTACAAGCTTCAAAAGGCAAATCCAAGCTCTTTATGAGGTCATACACTCAATGGGGACCTTAATCACTTCATCCATAGGAACTTTATGCTTCTAATACGTCCACAAGGTCTAGATCTAAAGTCCTTTCGGATCATTAAGCACAAACACATGGAGTTTGGTGTTTTAGGGCTTGAAAACCACCAATTTGGGACAAAAATGGTATCTAATGAACTAGTGATCAAGGTATGAACTTTTCTACCTGAATGGAAGCTTCTCACAGTGTAGATTTCGGATCTACTCCCTTCCTTGCACTCTTCAATCTCCTCCTTCTTCTTCTAAGATCCAAACTTCCTTCACCAAGTAAAAATCACTCACAAGAACAATATGGGGGCTAGGGTCTCTCACTACAGCTCTCTGGAAGTGTTAGGGATAAGGGAGGCCGAGTTAGTGTGCTGAAATAGGGTGCCAACACTCGGGTTAGGGTTTTTGCCCGAATAGGGCTTACTCGCTGAGTCGGGGAACTGACTCGCCGAGTCCAAGGCTCAGACTTCGCGTCTCATCCCGCTCCTACTCGGCGAGTCGGTCCTTCAACTCGCCGAGTCCAAGGCAAAAATGCATGAATTTAGAATTATTAATTACAAGAAATACGTACCGGGAACCAGGTGCTACAAATCTCCCCCACTTAGTTTAGACTTCGTCCTCGAAGTCTGCTGCTCGATCCTGAAATAGCTCGGTGTAGTGCTTCATCATTTCTTCCACCGACTCCCAAGTCCACTCCGATCCTTTCCGGTGATGCCATTGCACCTTTACGAGTTCCACCCTCTTGTTCCTCAGATCCTTCAACTTCATGTCGAGGATTGCCACAGGCCGCTCGATGTAATGCAGGCTGTCATTGACCTGAATATCCTCCAAAGGCACCACTGCCGAGTCGTCCACCAAACACGTATGCAACTGAGAGACGTGGAAAGTGTTGTGGATCTGGCTGAGTTCGGTTGGCAGATCCAACCTATATGCCACCTTGCCCACCCGAGCTACAACCCTGAATGGCCTGATGTACCTTGGGCCCAACTTACCTCGTTTTCTGAATCGGATGACGCCTTTCCATGGCGACACCTTCAGAAGAACCATATCCCCGACTTGGAATTCCAAGTCTTAACGGCGCTTGTCGGTATAGCTTTTCTGCCGACTCTGTGCAGTGTGAAGCCTGCTCCGAACTTGCTGAATCTTTTCGGTCGTCTTGAGCACTACATCGGTGCTCCCCATGACCCTCTGGCCAGCCTCACCCTAACATATTGGGGTCTGACACTTCCTTCCGTACAACATTTCGAAGGGAGGTTAATCAGTACTCGCGTGGTAGTTGTTGTTGTACGAGAACTCACCTAGAGGAAGATAGGTATCCCAGCTACCACCGAAGTCTAGCACGCATGCCCATAACATATCCTCTAGAGTCTGGATGGTCCGCTTGCTCTGACCATCTGTCTGCGTGTGTAAGGGGGTGCTAAAATGCAGAAGAGTGCCCAACTCATCATGAAATTTCTTCCAAAACCTGGAAGTAAAACGCGCATCCCTATCTGAAATCACGGATACTAATACCCCGTGTCGCGCCACTATCTCCCTGATATAGATGTCGGCCAACTTTTCGGCCGATATGCTCTCCTGAATTGGAACAAAATAGACGCTCTTGGTCAATCGATCCATGATGACCCATATCGAATCCACTCCTCACGCGGTCTTGGGAAGCTTTGTGATAAAATCCATCGTAATATCTTCCCATTTCCACAACGGGATGTCCAACGGCTGCATCTTGCCATGTGGTCTCTGATGCTCGGCCTTGAGCTTCCTGCAGGTCAAACACCGCTCAACGTACCAAGCCACATCGCGCTTCATGCAGGGGCACCAATAGTCTAGACGAAGATCACTATACATCTTTGTCGTCCCAGGATGAATAGAGAATTGGGATTTGTGAACCTCCTCCATCAGAACCTGACGCACGCCACCATGATAAGGGACCCACACCCTACAGTGAAGAGTCAATAATCCTTGGCTATCATAGTCAAAAGAGGAAACCTGTCCCACAATCTGCTCACTCTTCCGATGTTCCTCCTTCATGGACTCCTGCTGAGCCTCCCGAATCCGCTCCAACAGCGGAGTCACTATTGTCATCCGTAGGCAGATATCTTAGATCAGTGCTGCCTTACGGCTAAGCGCGTCGGCCACCACATTGGCCTTCACTGGGTGATAAAGGATCTCGCATTCGTAATCCTTTACCACGTTCAACCACCGATGCTGCCTCATGTTTAGATTCGGCTGATCCATGAGGTACCTAAAACTCTTATGGTTCGTGTAAATGGTGCAGCAAACCCCATAGAGGTAATGACACCAAATCTTGAGGGCGAACACAACAACCCCCAGCTTCAAGTCATACGTGGGGTAATTCTCCTCGTGAGGCTTCAGCTGCCTATACGCGTAGGTGATGGCATGCCCTCTCTACATCAATACCGCACCCAAACCTGAGATGGACGCATCGCAGTACACAACAAAATCCTCTATCCCTATGGCAGGGCTAAGATTGGCACCTCACATAATCTCTGTCTCAGTGTCTCGAACGTTGCTTGCTGCTCAGGCCCCCAACGAAAGACTACGGTCTTCCTTGTTAGCCTGGTCAATGGTACGACTATCTTGGAGAAATCCTGGATGAATCTCCGATAATAGCCCGCTAAACCCAGGAAACTCTGAATCTCAGATGGAGACTTTGGAACCTCCCATCTCATCACAGCCTCTACCTTGGGCGGGTCTACTGAAATCCTATCTTGGTTGATAAGGTGCCCAAGAAACTACACCTCGCGCAACCAGAACTCACACTTGGAGAACTTAGCATATAAGCTCTCTCTCCTCAAGGTCTCCAACACCTCTCGG